GCCTCCTGCCTTTGATTCAAGGTTTGCCGGAAGGGCCTTTTTGTGTCTGTGTCTAAGCCGTTATTGTAGCAATTTTTGCATCCAAGGGCTTGTTGCGTTTGAATTGACGCATCACCATGTTGGAGGGCATCGGAGCTGGGCGGGGGCACCTGGTAGCTCCTTCCCATCCACATTTCGTCACGCCCAAGGCGTTATCCAAATAGTAGTATAGCGAAATACTCTGATCTTGGCGCCAGTCAAGACCTGCTTTCGACAGCAGCTATAAACCTGATCAAGGCCTTATTCCAGGCTCAAAGGCTCACGGCTCACGGCTCACGACTGCTTTACATAAACAAGGGACCCACAATATCACCTGATGCAGGACCAGGGTTGCCAGTGTGGAAACGTTGAATCGTAACACGCCCCTCCACGATTAGTCACCGCTAAAGAAAAATATCGTTGCGATATCGCTACATTCCTCCCCCTCCAACGCCTCTCTCTTCCGTCAATCAATTCGCCTAGTGGACATGCAGAATAGATAAAGACACCATGTCGACATTTGGCAAATACTTTCGCGTGACGACGTGAGTCCTCTCTCTCCACTAAACTGGTAGGAGCGCAAGACAACAGCCCACTGACCTCCATCGTCACAGCGCCGGCGAGTCCCACGGCAAGACCGTCTCCTGTATCATCGAGAACTGCCCGCCAGGCCTGTCCCTCGTCGAGTCCGATATCCAGCCGCAGCTCAACCGCCGGCGCCCGGGCCAGTCGGCCATCAGCACCCCGCGCGACGAGAAGGACCGCGTGACTATAGGATCTGGATGCGAGTTTGGGCGCACGTGTGACAACCCTACAGGAAGTCATAATGTTTGACATGATGCTAATACTCTAGGGTCGCAGATTGGGCACACCCATACTCCTGACCGTGCCTAACGAGGATCAACGCCCTCACGACTACGGCTCCAAGACCATCGACCTCTACCCGCGCCCCTCCCACGCCGACTGGACTTACCTTGAGAAGTATGGTACCAAGGCCTCCTCTGGCGGCGGTCGGAGCAGCGCCCGCGAAACTATTGCCCGCGTCGCCGCCGGCGCTGTTGCCGAGAAATGGCTGCGCGAGGCCTACGGTGTCGAGATCGTTGCCTTTGTCTCCTCGGTTGGCAACATCAAGCTCTTTGAGGACAGGCCTATAACCGATAGCGACGATATCGACTCCCTTAGTAGCAACCCTAAGTTCCTCGAGCTTATCGACTCCCTAACCCGCGAGAAGGTAGATGAGTTCCTTCCCGTGCGCTGCCCTGATACTACCGTCGCGAAGCGTATGGAGGATAAGATTGCCGAGCTCCGCGATCAGCACGACTCTACTGGTGGTACCGTAACCTGTATTATTCGCGGGTGCCCCTCCGGCCTCGGCGAGCCGTGCTTTGATAAGCTTGAGGCTCACCTAGCCCACGCTATTATGTCTATTCCTGCTACTAAGGGCTTTGAGATTGGCTCTGGCTTCCGCGGCGCCGAGATGCGCGGATCCCGCCACAACGACCCCTTCGTGTCTACCCCCGCCGCCAATAATACGACGCCGAGCGCTGGCGCTGGCATTCCTCCCTCCCGCCTGCAGACCAAGACGAACCACTCCGGCGGTATCCAGGGCGGCATCTCCAACGGCATGCCCATCTACTTCCGCGTTGCGTTTAAGCCCCCCGCTACAATCTCCCAGGACCAGACTACTGCTCGCTACGACGCTTCAGGCGAGGGCATCCTGGCCGCCAAGGGCCGTCACGACCCCAATGTTACTCCTCGCGCGGTTCCTATCGTCGAGGCCATGGCCGCTCTAACTATTGCTGACGCCCTCATGGCTCAGCACGCGAGGCAGATGGGCGTGAAGATTGCCGCAGCTGGACGGTAGTACATTTCCGAGTACGAGGGCTCAATTTACTACGAGTGAACGTGGAGACTAAGGGGAAACACCAGTAGTATAGAAACGGTTAGGATCAAGGTGCTCGCAAAGATCTAAAGCGTTAGGAGAATACATCGTTTATTAGACTTGGGCCCTATCCATGTTCTGTCCGTCCCTAATGAAACCGAAAATGCCTTCAAGCCCGGGCCCGAGGGACGAGCCTAGACTACAGCGATGGTGATTTGCCATGGTACTGTTCTGTTCTTCCTCTGCCTACTCGACAAATTCCTGCGCACGACCAGGAGCAGCCTTTCGACAACGCGTGGCACACCATTGCGCTGGTGGCAGAGGGCCCGGAGATGTTTGAGGCTTTGAGACATGCCCGATTGGCGAGCACAGCGAGATCAGCATTCTCCTTACATTGCCGAAGGAACCATCCAAGGGCGGCATCGGGAAGCGTCGGCGCTCACGCAAGAGGACGCGAAGGGTATTTCGTCAGCGACGATGAGAGAATCCGGCCGTGCGAGCAAGACAAAATGGACAGTGGCAGATGGTGAAAGATCAAGCGTCGGCGCGCGTCTTGAGGGAGTACGGATGCTCGGCTACATTACCTCAAAGGGCATCATTTTTGGCCCTAAAAACGAACATCGGCTGTACTTGAATGTGAAGTATTTCTCACTGCAGGATAACAGAGACTAGCTTCGTGAAAATCCTCAATCAAATACATTCCGCAAAAGAATCAGCATTTCTCTAGACTTGATCTCGTTGACGCTAATTTCGCGTGATAAAGCGACAAGTTTTGCCATGGCTTCGTAATTCTATCCATAGCCGCTCTCAATCGGCTTCCCTCATTTTGGCGGCTTTGAGCTTTTCGCGGTAACGTCTCCTGGCTCTCGCTCTGTGCTCTGCCAATCTGCGCCCGTCCTCTGCAATCACAGCAGCTTGGTTCTGGCTTGTCCACGGTCGGTTGAGCGGCCTCTTTTCTTTTCTGGCGTTCCCTCCTTCTGTCGTTTCCAAGTTTCACCGCACATGAAGCACATCTTTGTTTGCCGACTCTTCCTGGCTCTCCGCAATCACAGCAAATGGCGTCTGGCCTACCGAGGGCTTCGAGGAACTCCGTTGCTTTCGATTCGTCTTCAATCTTTTTTTGGCAAAGCCTACACCTTGGTTTGTTATGTCTCCCTGGCCCTTACTAGCACACCGGATCGATTCTCCAGGAAAGGGCAAAAACTTGACGCCACAGTCACCGCAACGTTCGGCTTCAGCGCGTCTCTTGGCTTTTTTTCAATTCCGAATCTTCCACTCGCCGCCTTTTGGTAAATTTTCTTGGCATTGTTGGCACCTACAGCGCTCGGGTGGTACCGGTTTCTTGCAATCGCAACAGAGTCTGTCTCCTAGCTGGTGCTCCGGACGACGAGAACGACACGGACGCCCCTCCTCATCGGTGTTCGAGCTGTCTTCCTGCTTCATGCGACGCTCCATGGCTAGCAAACAAGTCGGACATCTGCGTTGCTTTCCGTTCTGCATCACGCCACAGTCGATACAATGATTTTGATTTTGATCGGTGTCACTGCTTTGTCCTGCCCCGGAGCCGCTTGGTCTTGTCGTTGTAACGGCTACACTCCTTTAGCCAACTAGGCGTGTTGCCGCCACAAGACACACACTTGATGGGGTTGCATTTACGGAAGTTTCCCGCCTTGATGCACCGGGTACCGCATGTGTCGCAATGCTTCAAACTGGTAGTCTCATATAAGCCAAGCAACGCCATGTCGATCTCCTTGGCATCACCATCGTAGGTGCCATATCTGGCAAGGTAATGTGCATTGGTTCGATATTGATGCCAGAAATGTACCCCATTTGATGCCGCATTGACGTTTTGGTAAGCCTACCGAACCAGGCTCTCGGCGGCTTGGCTCACAACAACTGGAGGAAGGGGCTGCAGGAGCGACGTTCGAGACGCACGTAGATGCGTTTAGGATTGCGAAAGTAGCCCTCGGTTACCAAGTAGATACTTGTCGCACGCAGTAGCTGGTCCCTTGCATCGTTGGGGCTCGTTTGCATATGCGTCTCAGAAAAGAGCAGCATCAATGATTCCTCTCTTGCTGTCCAACGAATCGAGCCCACATATCCAAGTTGGTAACCGGGAAGACTTGGACTGGAGTACTGTAGCCACTGCATCGGCGAGACCCAGCTGGTGGTCTCCGGTAGCACATCATCAGGATTATATTTTGCCCTTGATAAGTTTCTCTCGTATAGCACTCGATCATGCGGATGCATTGACCATTCCGCAATCTGTAGGTCCGGAGCTTTCTCTTTCAGCAGCCTCCACTGCTCGTTGAGCCAGGCCACGCTATACCCCTGAGGGGGCTGTGTGGATGGAGCACATCGGTGGCAAGCTGCCATGGCTCCTCAACTGTTGCACAGTCGTGATGGATGTGACCGGAGAACACCACGCGTTGATTTGAGTCAACGACCACTGCTTGGACCAGAAGCTGTCCGACCGCCTCAGTATCTGTTCACTAGCTCACGAACTCCCCTACATGTCTCATAAATCATTGGTAGGACCATTGTGAGTTGAGGTAGGCCGTTGACGTTCTGTTTATGGCTAGTGCGCACGATGGTGTTTCTGAGGGAGATGCAACGAGAGAAGGACCTTGACCTCGGAGAAGTCCTCTTCACTCTCGGGCGTTTCTAGCATATCGACGTCATCGTACTCCTCAAAGTCTTCATCGACAGGTTTCTGTAAAAGTATGGAGAGTCAGGTCAAGCCAAGTACCACCGAGCAAGCGAACATATCTGGAGTGGGTCCATTCACTTTACGTTTTAGAGACATCTTTTGAAGCTTTGAGGTAGTTATTCTTTGCAAGTATTCTTCAGAAATCAAGAACTGCGAAAGACAATTGCGAGATGCAATGCTGAGATTCAATGGGAAGATGTGAATAAAGTGTTCTGTAGCACAAAGTTACCTAAGTAGGTACCTAAGGTACTTGCCAGATGCAAATGCATGCATGTACGTATGTAGTATCACCAAGAGGTCTGAACCCCACCAAAAAAAGTTGACATGACATCGCGACGTCCCTCCATCGATCGCCGCCTTGGGCTCTGCCTCGCAACACACAACGTCACCATGCCGGTAAGCTGCCACCACCCCCAACACAATTTGACCATAAATTGCACGCAGTGGCCAACACAATTTGCAGCTCATCATTGTCTCCGGCCTCCCCACGTCCGGCAAAACCACCCGCGCCAAGCAACTCCACGACTACTTGTCGGCGCGCATAGCAGAAACCCAACCCCCCAAGTACCGCCTTCACCTCATATCCGACGACTCCCTCTCAATATCCCGCGCCGTGTACGACCTCTCCCCGGACACGGTGCGACTGCACACGCGGTCCGCCAACTCGTCCGAGAAGGATGCCCGCGCCGCCCTGTACGGCGCCGTGAAGCGCGTGCTCTCCGAAAGGGACATTGTCATCCTCGACGGCCTGAACTACATCAAGGGGTGGCGGTACCAGCTGCACTGCGAGGCCAAGGCCATGAGGACGCCAAACTGCATACTCCGTGTTGCGTGCCCGGTGGACCAGGCGAGGCAGGTCAACGAGGAGAGGCGGCGGCGGCGACAAGACACCACCGAGCACCATGGTGAATCTGCGCCGGAGGCCTACGAGCCGGCCAACTGGGACAACCTCGTCTTTCGCTACGAGGAACCAAACCCCATGACACGCTGGGACTCTCCGCTCTTCGCGGTCCTCTGGGACGACGACGAGGCCCAGACGAAACGAACCTTTGATGATCTCTGGGACGCCATGGCCGGCGAGGGGCGCAAAGTCGTCAAGCCAAACCAGTCTACGGTTCAGCGTGGCCGAGAAGCTGGCGGCGATTACTTGTATGTTCTCGAGCGGGAGACCCAGGATATTGTCAAGAGAATACTGGAGCAGCAAGGGGACGATGGTGGCGGCGAGGTAAAGGTACCGCTTGCCGCCGCCGACAGGGAAGATCTGATTGTAGACTTGCCGGCGGGCAAAAAAGTTGGCCTGCCGCAGCTGCAGAGGCTGAGGAGGGCGTTTGTCGGGTTGAACAGGGGCGGCATCGGCCTGGAGAGGGTGGGCAACATGGCGGCTGATGGGATGAGGGAGTTGTTTGTTAGTTATTTGAACGATGCATTTGAGAAGGATGAATGATGCTGATCTAGGTGGGCATATACATGTCGTTTTGGAGGAGTCTGGGTCTACGAGGCATGTGGTTTACGAGCAACGAGACAAAAAAGGGTAGTGTCGAGTCGATATTGAACAAGACCTGCAATGTACCTAATGGCGATTGGCGACGTTTGACTAGCAGGATAATCTCTCTCATGATTGCTCCAAGGTTTGTGCGAACAGTCCAACTCAACTTTGCTCCCATTCCAGGCTAACGCCCATTATACAGGATTTATGAGCAGACCTCCGACCATACATTGCCGCCTTATAAGGGGGGTGTTGGGCTCGATTTCCAACAGCGCCATTGGTATCTTGTCTATGACGTAGTTCCCTGCCATCACGATATAGAGAAGACTGAAGCTACTCATCGTCTCACCGGCATCCAACCAACTCAATCCCCGTCTTGACCGGTGGGAAACCCAGAGTTAGATCCGTGAACTAGTCTTTGAACACCATGGCTCACTCCCAAGACGGCGCTAAAGCCGAGCTCGTCCAGTCCGATCGGAGTGGCCAAAGTGGCTCCAGATGTCCGAGTCGGCGCCGATATCAACTTCTGCAAACACCAATGGCCTTTTCATCCCAAGCATATAAAGCCAGCCACCAGCAACAAATCAACACACCAGTATACCAAGCCGGCAAACTCGTTACAAAATGGAAACCACCGCGGCAAGCAGTCCCTCCGCAGCCTCCAAGCTCCGACACATGCTCGCCACCAAGGACATCATCGTAGCGCCCGGAGTATACGACGGCTTCAGCGCGCGAATCGCCCTCGAAGTCGGCTTCGACAGCATCTACATGGCAAGCAGACGCTCCCTGTACCAACACTTCCCCCAAGCCCCAACTAACGCCTGCGTACAGACAGGCGCGGGCACATGTGCCTCCAAACTCGGCCAAGCAGACCTAGGCCTCGCAACCCTCAACGACATGGGCAGCCACGCCGAAATGATGGCCAACCTTGACCCCAAGATACCGCTCATCGCCGACGCAGACACGGGCTACGGCGGCGCCAACATGGTTGCCCGCACCGTCGCCCAATACCACCGCAGTGGCGTGGCAGCCCTCCACATCGAGGACCAGATCCAGGCAAAACGCTGCGGCCACCTGGGCGGCAAGGCCGTCGTCGACACAGACACCTTTGTGCAGCGGATCCGCGCCGCCGCCCAGGCCCGCCGCCGCCTGGCTTCGGACATTGTCGTCATTGCCCGCACGGATGCACTCCAGACAGACGGCTTCGACGAGGCCGTCCAGCGTCTCAAGGCCGCCGCCGAAGCCGGTGCCGACGTAGCCTTCCTCGAGGGCATCCAGAACGACCAGCAAGCGAGGGAGGTGTGTCGTGCGCTGGCCCCCGTGCCCGTGCTGCTCAACATGGTCGAGCACGGGGCGACGCCCTCGTGGACGCCCGACGAGGCGAGGCAGCTGGGGTTCAAGATTGTCATCTTCCCCTTTGCCGCGCTGGCGCCCGCGTACAAGGCCATCCGGGAGGCCTTTGTGCGCATCAAGGAGACGGGGAGGACCGGCCTAGACCCCGAGTTCACCCCCAAGAGGCTGTTTACCATTGTGGGCCTGGAGGACGCAGTGAGGGTTGAGGACGAGGCTGGTGGGAGCTTATACGACGGCGTGTAGATGGGTCTGAGCACCGAGGAATATGAGTCGGACGGCGGGTTTTGCCGTTGAACGATGCATATGTGAGGACACTCTTGCTGCTGCTTCAGTCTGCGCGGCATCTTGTTCAACGCAGCGTTTGCTTCTGGCCGTGCAGCCGGCCCCTTTCTATAGATGAACCAACACACAGTGAGAAATTCCCCGGTGGTCGGATACCCTTGACAGTTGGTAGGCTCTTTCAACCGTCCTATGCTATGAAAGCCGTTCAGTTTTAATAAAGAGACACTCGAAGCATCTAGCGCCGGTTCATGTGGTCATGCAATGAATCATATACATAAACGCTCGCACGTACCAAGTCTTGTGCCTCGTGTTTCTGCACAGCCGTCATTATGAACAAATTTTTCTTCCATTGGTGCTAAAGCTTGGCACGCAATTCTTGTTTCCATTGTTCTTGCTCTGCTCTTGCAACAACAGTATACTGCTCAATATTGTCCCACGTCTCATGGCTATGTGAATAGATACAAGCAGCCTTCAACTGGTGCAAAAAAGCATTGCTAGTTGGTGCGCCGTGGTTTCGACATCAATAATGTCCAGCATTGAATCTTGAACGGATCAGACATCGCTGAACAGAAAGAAAATAGTAGGGCTCCAATACGCGTCTTCGACACCCGGCCGCAGCCGATTTCTGAAAATGCTTCATAGAATAACAAAGGCATGATGTGGTCATGTGTGCTACAATACATGCTAGCCAAAAACAAAAGTAAAAGAAAAAGAAAAGGCTTGACTAAAAAGATGAACATCCAACGCTATGTGCTGCAGCTGATACCCGCAGCGCCTCTGGGACTTAAACTGTTCCCTTCGACCTTGCCGGATTACAGCATGATGATAAAAGGGAAATTCTTTCGCTAACTGGCTGCACTCTAAAAATCGCCGAGGCAATTGCTGTGAAGATCAAGGTTGGACACAATCTTCGGTCTAGCTACTTCCATGGAGGTAGACAGAAAGAGTATGGCGTTAGTGCGAAAGTTGGTATAGTGCAGTTCATGGGAGAAATATTAGCTTCTTGTCCATACTGGCTTGAACATCTTGGTCCTAGATCTGATACCAGGAAAGCTCCAAAACGAAGAAATTCAATACGAGACACCGTCTCCACTCCGCCCGTCTTCCGAACAAAACGCCTCGGAAGCCAGGATCCCAATAACCACGTATTGTCAGGAAAAGCTTGACCCGGTTCGTTCAATCCATCCTCCGCTGCAAGTGAGGTAAAAGAGGTCCACTAACTCCGATAACCATGCTCACAAATAGATATATATATGGTCGTTATAAAAAAAAAACAAAGAAAATAGATACGAGACCCGTACAAGATGGAGCTGGTCGTGTTTTCGTTGTGGTCAAAGAGATTGTACTACAGTAGGTAGTCGTCATGAGGCCACGTAACGATGGTGGTGAGCTCGAGCCTTTTCCTGTTCCAGTCGTTTTCTTTCCTGTCGAATCTTCGCCGCCTCCGTGCCATCATCCGGCTGGGCGATTTCATCAAACCAGGGATGATTCAAGGCCTGCTTGGCAGTAATACGACGTGCAGGGTCGTATACAAAGATTTTTTGTAGCAAATCAAGGAAATGCTTGAAGAATTGATTACTCGATGGAATAATGTCCTATTGTGACAGTTAGAGGATAGTCGTACATGTATCAAGGAGGCAAAATGGAACCTACGTGAAGGTGCTTCATCGCTTTGACGAATCTCCTGGAACCTCGCGTTGTATCTGCAGTAGGATAGTCAAGTTTGAGACGTTTAAAGTATCTATGCAGGTCAGGACAAAGTTCAAAGGCGAAGAGGGCGAAGACTTACTTGGACGCCGGATTGCCGCCGCTCCTTGTCGACATCTTGTTTACAGATTGCACGAGATGAGTATCTATCCTCGAACCCACGACGGCTTCCATCATGGCCAGATGCTCAAGGTTATCATGCGTTTGGAACAAGGCGTCGCCTGTGAAGAATTCGACCAAGATACAACCAATGCTCCAGATATCACAAGGAAACGACCATCCCAGTCCCAGGATAATTTCTGGAGCTCGGTAATGCCTTGTTGAGACGATAGATGAGTGATACTCATCCTGGAATGTAGCCGACCCAAAATCAATTAACCGAATCTCCGTATTTAACAATACCCGCCGCTGAGAGGCTTGCCTGTTAATAGTTGTTGAGGATGAGGGAATTTTCCGGTTATATGTGAATGTCTGGTACAAGTCATCGCAGAGAAGGATGTTTTCTGGCTTGAGATCGGTGTGAATTAAGTTGAGATCGTGCAGAACTGGTCCTAGTCAGCGGTGTGCAGGAGTGTTAAAAGCACTCGAGGACGACTTGTACTCACAGGCTACACTTGTAAAGAGTTGACGAGCAAAGTTTTGAATATGACTGTTAGGAAAAGGTACAAAACCATTGCCTTTTAAGAAGTCAAAGACACTCTGGCCCAAGAGGTCCATGACAATGCATATATGGCCTCGATAGTCAAAGCAGTCCGTTAGGTGTATGCATCGATATCGATTATTGGCGTCATTAGCCTTCAGAGTAGCTAGTACTCGCAGTTCAATTCTTGACGCGTCGCGGTACTTTTGCACTGATCGAATGATTTTGACGGCAACAGCTTGATTCCGCTTCTGATCACGAGCTTGAACAACCTTGCCAAAAGTTCCTTGGCCAAGCAAGCGCGTAATTTGGTCTGTGCATAGATTAGCCATGCATGTACTTAAGGGAAGAACAGAGGTGAAACTTGACGTACATTTTTCCGTGAGTTCCGCATCAGGAACAACGATATAGTGCCCGTCGTCATCATCAACCTTTACATTCTTTGAGTAGTGCTGTTTTTGTTGAAGAAGAGTAGTCAGCAACGCATTTCTCCACAACAAAGAGCGTTATACGTCTGCATTGATTGGACTCAGGTGCATAGACCAATCGATGGGGAGACGGTGAGGTAAAAAAAGCAATGCAATACTCACATCGTGTACAACCCGGACTTGAACATCTGCAACCTTTTTCGGGGGGAAAGGTGGTGGCTTGTACGTGAGAAGTCGGCCCCCTAGGCCATCGACATCCCGACGTTTCGCTTCGTTGGCCGCCTGCTGACGGGTAGTCCGCTTGCGCTTCAAAGGAACAGGAGCCTCATCGTACTGGCTGTTGGAAGAAAGAGAAGTCGGGGCGGTGGTGTTGAGAAATGAGTTGGTGCGGTCACTTGAGAGTGTAGAGCCGATGGGTGTGCCGTGTTGCAGCGGTGTGTTTGTGCGGGAGCCCACATATTGAACGTGATAGCCCGAAGCGGCAGCATCCCGACGTCGTCGCTTCACGGGCTGGCGAGTGTTGGTAGCAGTCGCCTCGTAGGAAGCAG